TATGTTAATTTCTCTTTTAAAGTGAATCTATTTATAACAAACCTTCATTCATTAAGCAACCAATTTTCACCTCATCCTCTGTATCATTGCCAAATATCTTAAAACACAAAGTTTCATTGTTTACTTTACCAATGCACTCGGAACAAGCTGGGTTATTTTTAAGTATATGCTCAATTGTAGCATTTTTTTCTTTTATAATTGTCAATCTGTAAAAAATGAATGATTAACAGATAATTCGTAAGCGACTTATTTCAGACATTATCGTGAAATCAAAATAATTATGATAATACAAAAATATCCTAACGCTCATACGTTTGTTAATAATGTATCAAATTATCATTTTGTTACATCGTAATACTCAAATATAACTATTATAATTTTTATGTACGCTTTAATTGCGAGGAAAAGATAAATTTATAAGGTACTTATTATATATACTCACTGTTCAGTTTGATTATCTCCATTCTTCAAGCTTAAGACACACAATGTTGGGCGATCGCAGTGTAATCCGGCCCATCCGTGATCACATTCGCAAGTTCTGCGTTCCTCGACGCACTCGCCGTGAGTACCGCAACCACCCTGACACGCGTGTACGCAGGTGCCTTTGATCATTACGAAACCAGCATAACATCGACACTCTCCTGGTGCCTCGCACTCGCCATTATCGCAATTCTCGCAATGCGGCAGGCATCTGCTTCCGTTTTTCGTTCTATTTTCGGAGACAATCAAAGATCGAGAGTCTTTTACTCCAAATTCGAGATTCGGATCCGCAGGAACAAATCCGTCGTCGCACTCGCAAATCTCGGGCGCAACGCACCTGCCGTTGTTACAAGTCGAGCAGACGGGGTCGCATCCGCCAACTTCTGCGTTTCGATAGCCATCGAAGCACATACAGGCATCCGGCGCCGTGCATGTGCCATTGCCACATTCAACGCTACAAATCGGCTCACATGCGAACGGAACGTTTTTTCTGTCGTAATAAACCATGCGATAGCCATCCTTGCAAGTGCAGAGATCGGGTGCTTCGCAAATTCCGTTTGTTCCGCAAGCCGGGTGACAGATAGGGTCGCACTCTGTCTTAGAATTCGTGGATAGACGATAGCCCGGGTTGCAACTGCATACGTCGGGTTGTACGCAGATACCGTTCTTGCAACTTGGATTGCAAATAGGTTCGCAAAGGCTCGTGCGATTTCCTTCGGTAGGTTGGTAGCCGGAATTGCAGGTGCATTCGTTTGGAGCAGTGCAATATCCATTGATGCAATCAGTCTCGCAGATCGGCTCGCATTCATTCCAAGAATTGGAACGACGATAGCCCGAATTGCACATGCAGGTCTCAGGTGCGGTACAGAAGCCGTTGAAGCATTTCTGGCTACATGTAGGTTCGCAGACATAGAGACTTGACATAGGTGTGATCGCTGATGTTGGATGATAGCCGATGTTGCAACTACACGTCCACGGAGCGCTACAGAATCCATTTATGCATTCCACCTCGCAGATCGGCTCGCAAACCGAGTTGCTCGCAAAATGTAGCAAATTCTGAAAACCAATCTTTCGTATAAATCTAAAGAATTAACGTGTGAATAATTAACGTATTCTTGAAATAACGTTAAACAATAGAAATCGGCTTATATAGAGATTTGATATACAATAATTATTTAAAGTCACTAAAATAAATAGGTATTAATTCATCTGTCAAATCATAATTATAGATCTTGAATTGCCGCCACGTTTCAGATCTAATACAGTCTTGCTAGTTTAATACTAACGATTTTCTCAATTTGCATCTTATTAGCCAGGCGATATCCTTCAAAACAGGAGCAAACATCCGGCGCAGTGCAGACGCCGAATGGTTCGCAAGAAGTTTTGCAATAAGGCTTACAAATGTGCTTTTCTGTCTCGTCGCCATTTAATTGGAATCCTTCGTTGCACATGCATATGCCAGGCGCAGTGCACCGTCCATTAAGGCAAGCCTTTTCACAGACTGGTTCGCAGATATACTTTGAATTCTCAAGCAGTCCGTAGCCCGCGAAGCAGCCACAACTTTCAGGAGCCACGCAAGTGCCCATAACGCAAGCTTCACTGCAGATTGGTTTGCAAACGCTCGAGGTGCTTAATGAATAACCCTCATTACAGGTACATACATTAGGGGCAGCGCACTCGCCAAACAGACAACCATATTCGCACGTGGGCTTGCAGGCAAATAAGTCGTGTGTATCAGGCTCGTAACCGTTATCGCAAGTGCAGATATTGGGAGCTGTGCACTTCCCGTGAATACACTCTCTTTCACAAATAGGCTCGCACATCTGAGTACAAAAAGATGTGGTCTTTATTATTAACATAATACTCGTACTTTTCTCGTACTCTTTTCTTTTATATATTACCTTTAATATTAATATCTTTCCAATTATTATGACATTATTTTTATGACACGCTTAATATATTAATTAGGTCCAATTTAAATTTGAATAAATAAATCAAAGTGTTTCTATCGTTTACTTACATTAGTTAATTTGACGTCACTGGAAATATTTTTATATCCGTTCAGACAGAGGCATTGGTCGGGTTTATAGCAATATGATCCTGTAGGACAAGGTACATTGCAAATGGGTTCGCAGATGTAATGATCGTTTGTCGGTTTGTATCCAGAATCGCACATGCAAGTGTCGGGTAAGACACATTTGCCGTGTACGCAAGGGGGAATACACACAGGGACACAGCCAAAGTCAGACGCTGGAGCAGTAAAAATGTATCCATAATTGCAGAGGCACACGTATGGCTTTGTGCACGTACCATTTCCGCAAGGAGGCCGACAAAATGGTACACATTTTGGATACACACTTGAACCGTCCCAAATGATTTTACGTTCAAATCCGTCACAACACTCGTATTCTATGCGCCATGATTTGCGAGACTAACAATAGAAACGAGTTTTTGCATATATAGTAATATTTATTTGTATATGTAAAAGTATGTAGAGTGTTAATCAATAAAAATGCTATCTTTAAAGAATTACACACACACACACACGCACGCACGCACACGCACACACACAGAAAATATGCTTGATAAAAGGTGATTTGATTAGCAAAGATACTAATTAAAAATTGATAAATAATATTTTTTCAACAAAAATTTAATTAAAGTTTAAAAATTTTAATATTAAATGTTACAAAATAAGCTGTAAATTTTATTGAAGATATATTATTGCTATAAAAGTTATCAGTTATATATTGTCAGCTGTATCTGTAATTTTAATATTACTTCTATTTTTCTATAATTTTATTCGTCCCTTTTTTAATCATTCAGTTAAAAAATTCTTATATTACGGAATAATTATTTTATTTTTCGATAAATACATATATTATTACGTGCGCTAAATGTATTTATTAACACATTTTGAATTTTGATTCTATTATTTTAACGAAAATATATTACTTTGAATAGAAGTCCTACGCTTAAACCTTACCTCAATTTTATAATTCCATCGAATGCGGGTTTTATAAAAAATACCCCACGTCTTTTCCTTAAACGTTTCCATGTATGGAACTTCAGATGTTTCCATAAAACTGCAAACAGCGCACAATTTTAGCATTATTAGAGCTCACTTGTGCGCCGATTATACATTACGATAGTATCGATAAGCATTTTTAATCGTAAAATATAGCAAATCTTACCTAACGATTTTACTACAATTTCCCGTAGAATAATCACTTAACGACGTTGCAGTATGCAATTCTACTTTAATAATTAATTCGTCTTGAAGAATGGCAAGAATAAATATGACGTACAAAAGTTTCATAATTGCCGAATATATTTAAACATATACATTTGAAGGAACGTCCAAATGTGAATGACAGATCAGTGTGTGGATAAAGCGTGTTGCAAAGTATATTGCGTCGCAACTTATACTGAAGCTTCTTCTCCTCTTTGAATTATGAGAGTACCGTGCTATCAGAATCCGACAGGATGTTAGCTGTTGTCAGGCAGTTACAATTAAATCCGTATGAATCTCTGCTTATCAGCAAAATGAGCTTCTTTAATTTTAGTAATTCTATTTCACATAAATTGTTAAAAACTTTTACAACATTTGGCGTTGCAATTATTATATCAATTTATTTGTACGTACAAAAGAGATTGCGTGCGAATAAAAGGAATTGAAATTCTATTTAAGACAAGTTGATGAAAATCCTGAATAAAATGCTACATTATCGGTTTCCATTCATAAGCTGTGAATCATGCTGGGTACAAAGTACTTTGCATCTCATTGTAAAAATAATAAAGATATATTAAATATATAAGTACATATCACACAGGTTGCGGAATATCTTGTGAATCGCTTTTAAGAAATATGCATTGCGTCGAGCTCTGGAGAGAAACTGCATAATTGTTTCATGGCGTAAACGAATCGATTCCGCATGTTTAACAGTGCATAAACGGGAACATACATTTTCTTGAGCGAAACTTATGTGAAGTTGATGTATTGGGTCAAGGATACAGTCTGCATTAACCCATTTATAATGTAATAACATTAATGTGTAAAACATACTGCACGCGATAGCATTTATGGTTAGTCATAATGTCATTTCTACATATTCTTTTGTGAGAATGTAAGATTTATAGAGCGCTTCTATTTTTATGCCTAACTTTATAATTAATTTTATGATTTGTCATATAATTAACGTATTCATTTACCATTGAAGTTTTACATATTTAAACACTTTGTTTACCCTGAGAAAATTGTATTGATTAGTCTACAACGTTATTCAAGAATGCGCGTACAATTATGAAAATAGTTATTGCAATCTTTTGTTGAAACTTTTAAATGTGTGAAAATATTTTATTTTCATATTACTATTTTTTAAAGGTATCATAATTATAAATTTAAACATATTGCTTGAAATAAGAGACACACAAAAAATTATTTATAATTTATATTATCAATTTATTTAATATAAATTCAGTTGATCATAATTATTGATTTGAAAATAGTTAGTTTTATCTAACTAATATCTAACAATATGTTTTTGTATGCAGTCAACTCTCATTTACTCTGGGATACATCTCTGCCGACCCTTGACACCTTCCTTTCGGTATCCGGGATTGCATATGCAAAAGTTTGGCAGGGTGCATACACCGTTCGGACATCCACCCACGCACACCGGCACGCATCTTGAACGCGTAATATCGAATTCGTTGTGCGTGTACCCATGGTTGCAGGTGCATTGATCCGGTCCAGTGCATCGACCGTTTAAGCACGGGTACTGGCACATGTCCGCGCTCGTGCTCACGTGCGGAATGCATCTTCCGGTATCGGGATCAACGCGAAATCCCGGATCGCAGACGCACAAGTTCGGACCAACGCATCGGCCGTTTGGCCCGCAACCGTATCGGCATTGCGTCGAATTAGTCGCGGATGTCGTGACGGAGATGCATCTGCCGGTATCGGGGTCGGCGGTGAATCCAGGTTCGCAGATGCACCGATATCCCACGCACGTGCTATGCGGACCGCAGCCATATCTGCAATCGCCGACGGGCTGCGATGTTGGGGTTGTCGTTACGGGGATGCATCTGCGGGTATCAGGATCGACGGTGTATCCATATCCACACTGCGCTGAACCTGTAGTACTCGGAACGCATTTGCCGCTGTGACGATCCTGCGTGTATCCAGGTCTGCAGTCGCAATAGTTCGGTGCGATGCACTCGCCTCCTTCACAACCACCCGGGCAGACGGGTATGCAAGCGCCGGTTTGATTGCGCGTGAAACCGGCCCTGCATAAGCAAAGGTTTGGTGCGACGCATTCGCCGTTAGGACAACCGGTCGGGCAATGGGGAACGCAGGACTCGGTATCGCCGAAAATGTTGGTGTACCTGTAAAACAATTTATAGCTGCATTATGATATATTATTTATATATTTGTACTTGCTTTATTGATCAGTCGGCAAAGGAAATTGTCAGAAATTTATTAGGGATTCTGAATTGCTAAAGAATTTATTATTGAATGACAGCGTCATGTAAAATGTCCCACCAAGAGACACGTAAAAGTCAACAAAAAATCAAAATGATTTTAATTTAATTCTCAATGTCAATATATTTAAATAGTAACAGAAAAATCGTTATCTTTACACAATTTCATAACGTCAAAATAAAGTTACTTTGACTTTCTCTTGACTTGGATAAGATCAATTCGATACTCATTCTGCAAAACTAGTAATTTGTAAACTTATTATTATCATAACGCGTGACTGCACTTCAAGCGGCAATGTTAATAAATAACATTATCAACGTAGATGTGGTCACGCGAAAATTACAAAACAACTGATTTATACACGCGTATAATAGCGATTACACGCACAATGTATAATTGCTTTTAAAGTAGAATATTTTTGACGAGTACATCATTGATTTATCAATGACTTATATCGCAATTATTACAATCCGTTTTGTGGGAATAGGTTACTTACTACGTAACGTAGTACGTGCGTAAATCAGAGTTTAATTATCGCGCGGAATGCCGATGCGAAAGACATTGCGCAGTTGAGCGGAGATCGGAGAGATTCGAGATAACGGCATTTAATTACCCTTCATCGCAGGTGCACACGCCTGGTGCGCTGCACACGCCATGCCCGCAGCCGCCTTCGCACGCTGCCACGCACTCCTTGCGCTCATTCAGAACGTATCCCTGTCTGCAGCTGCAGACGCGCGGTGCCACGCACTCGCCTTGCTTGCATCCGTCAGGACAGATCGGTTTGCATTGGCCGTCGATCTCGTCGTAGCCCAATTTGCACACGCACACCTCGGGCGAGAAGCAATAAGCATTCTCCTGGCATCGATACGAGCAAACGGGCATGCAAACGCCATCCTCGGAACGCCATCCCGACGGGCAGCTGCAGACGTTCGGGGCTGTGCAGCGGCCGCCAAAACAACCGCGTTCGCATTGCGGTTCGCATAGACCGCTCGTTACATTGCGCACGTAGCCGTCACAACAGTCCAAGATAGTGATCCAACCGTCAGGCTAATTTATCACAGAATTTATCTTATAATTCTCGTTGTCGAAGTTACACGGGAAAAAA